GCTTGCCTTCTGCTTCTGCCCTTACCTCGCTGAACTTAGCTGGGGAAGACAGCCCAGGATGAGCTGCAGTGGCCGATGGGCGTCTGGAGCCCACCCACTCCCACCCCTGCCTCAGAGCGCCAGGCTGGGTATCTCCATCTCACCAGGGAGCCATGCCTCCGTTACATCACCCAGAATCAGAGGGAGCCCCACTCTCCACCTCCCCCCGGCTGCTGTAAGCAGGCCACAGGTCCAGGAAGCCCAGAGGCAAGTCCAGGTCCAAGAGGAACCAGGGGAGGAGGAGGAGCTGTCCACATGCCTGCTCTGCATGGCCAGGGGCAGAGTGGACAACAAGCCCCCTCTCCCCTGGTCTGCCTGGGACGCTGGCTAGGCGGTCCTTCGCCGCGGTCTGACTGAGTGGAGTTCAAGGCAGAAGCCTAAAGGTGTGTAGAACACACCGCAGGCCCTGCCCAGACCCAGCTCCACAGCTGGAGCCCGTGGGGAGGAGCTCCTCATTGCGTCATGGAGAGCAAGACCCTCCACGCTGGGGCACGCTGCCTTCCCGGCCTCAGTGCCCAACCGTGAAGTGGGGCAGCACTCCACCCCAGCATTCACCCCAGGGGCGAGGACAGCACAGGTGGGTGTGGTCTCCCTGGCACCAGTGTGCAGTGCCATTGGCGCTGCTTCGATTCTGCAACCAATGCCTAATCTGTGCCAGATCCTGCAGCTACAGGGAGAAAAGACGCCATTCTGGTCTGGGGCAGAATGAAATGGGATCAGCCCGGCTGGGATCTCGCGAGGCAGGGGCAGGGGCACTGCTGGGGGGCAGGGGCACTGCTGGGGGCGGGGGCAGTGTAGAGGAAGGCTGGGGGAACACCTTGGAGAAGGAGGACCCACGAGAAGCACTCGCAAGACCAGCGAGGTGCAGGTCGCCTGTGTGCTAAGGCAGGTGGCACAGGCTTAGCCGTCCCCGCACTCCCCCAGGGCTGCAGCCAACTGTTTGGGTTTCCAGCTCGCTCTGCCTCAAGGCCAGGCCTTATCTTGTCATCTAGACTGTCCCCAGAACCTTGGCAGCAGGTTGCATAGGCAAGGCAGGGCCAGGCTCTCGACAGGTGTGGGAGCCCACACCTAAGCGTGCCCAGAAAAAAAAATATAATAAAAGGAAGATGCTGCCCATTTCATGAACCCCCTGGAAGGCTGCGTTGAGGAACGAGACTTGGAAGGAACAAGAAGGCCTCTGGCTTCCAGCAGGCGCAAGGGGATCTCAGAGCTCCTGCTCTGGGTGTGCCCCCGCCCCGGCCAGCAGACCCTCGTCCTAAGTCAGCCACCTCAGTCCCGTCAGCTACTGCCCCAGCTCCAGATGAGCCCCACGCCCCGGGGAGTACTGTCCCTCGCGGCTATCTACACCTCCCCCCGCCCCTGCAGCTGCAAAGGAGACCCTCCGGTCCCCGGCTCCCTGCCTCCCTGCAAAGCGGTTCGCCAGCATCTCCCGCACTCTGCAGTTGAGATCCGGCGCCTTCTGTTTTCCCAGTCCTGAGGGCGGCAACAACTTAGATCACAGATGTTAGATGGGAAAGAGAAGTGTCGCAGACAGTCCCGCTGCATCACGGCCAGCAGCCCATGGTGGGACAGGATTTCAGCCTGAAGCGCCCACTACCGGGAGGCTACAAGTTTGCACCAGAGATCCCTGGCACCCAGGCCCTGGCCCAGAGCAGACACGCCCAGAGGAGGCACCTAGGCCCCATCCAGCCGGGCCTGGAGCCTGCCCTTCAGGCTGCCAATGTGGGTGGTAGGCCGTCCTGCTGACCCGACAGCCACACAGGGTGCAGAGCCTCAGACACTTAGAATTAAACAACACAACCCCTTGGAAAAGCTACAAGTGGTGCAGACATCCAAGCAAGCAACTGGGGAGGAATGGGAACCAGAACAAATTGTCTAACTAAACCTGCCCCTGCGAGCCCGGCTGGAAGCGTGCTCTCTCCCGGATATAGGGACGGCCGCTGCCCAGGGCTCCCCAGAGAGCATCCCTCCCAAGCCTTCCACAGGCGCACAGCTGACTGACTCCTTTGCACAGAGGGCGCGCCGGCCGGCCCGAGGAAGCCCGTTCATTAGCGCACGCCCAGCACCCAGGCTCCCACGGCAACCTCCAAGGTGGAGTGCGCCCGCTGGAGCAGGGCTTACAGGAAAAGTCAGGATGCAGGTGCAGTGCATTAACCTCACTGGTTAACACGCCTGTCCAACAGGAGACAGCTCCAGGGAGGGCGTGGCTTCCGGCCGCTTCTCGGGCTAGACCTGGGAGCACCTTAATTTGCATTTATATTAAAAAAGAAGAAAACAAACGGAATTAACCAGAAAGGTGCTTTGTTTCCTGTAAACTGCTGAACTGCCTCTCCGGGCAGAGAGCCTGAGGCGCACTGAGCCTCTGGCCCAGGTCGCCGGCGCCCGGGGTCCCACCCGGTCAGCTCATTGTGCCCCGTCCCTTCTACAGGTGGAGAAGCTGAAGTCAGCAGTCAGGAATGACCTGCTCACGGCCTCGCAGGATTCCACGGCGGGTCTGCGCGCGCCAAGGGCGGTAACTTTCCACTACTGGGCAGCTGTGTTAGCAGAGTCTTCGTGTGCGTGCACACTTGTGCAAGGGCCTGTGTGTGCCATTATTCCAACCTTCCTTTGCAGAAAAGTAATCGAAAACCCAGTGAAGGCAGTGGGAAAGGCACCCTGAGACCCTGGGGTCCTGCCCTGCCCTCTGTGTCCAGCTCCCCTCCCAGCCATCCTCTCGGGGTTTTGGCCGTTGGAAGCACACATCCAGACGACTCACTGGGAACCCAGCATGGACACGCACCTTGACGAGAACGTCAGAACCAACTTTTTGTTTTGGAACGCTTCCGGATGTGCCTGCAGCTCGGCCCCTTCCTCAGTGGTGCAGTTTACTTGTTGGAACGGGCGAAACGCTTTGTGTGCCCATTTTACCCTGAGAGCCAGCAGAGCAGCCAAGTTCACCTGCCCTTAGCAAGGAGCAGAGAAGGCACCAACCCTGAAGGGTTGGGGGCCCTGTCCCCTGCCCTGGCAGGCGGGAGTGCAAGTGCACAGGCATAGTTCTTGCTCTCTGGTTCTGGGGTGCACGGGCACCTGTCCCCAGAACCAATGCCATGCACGAAGCAATGGCAGAGCCCAACAGGACGTCTCAGAGCCCGGAACACTGTGTGGGCAGGAAGGACAGTTCTGCGTTTCGGGTGCTAGGCAGAGGGCATGGGGCCATGAGGGAGCGGAGTCGGTTGTGTAGACAACAGGAGGACAATTTTCTTCCCTAAACATAAAAGACCTGCACCAATGAATTAACATAGAAAACACGATGACTCTCTCAAAAAAAAAAGTCTTCAACCAAGGAGACAGGCCGTCCTATGCTACTGCTTCCTGTTGCATATGGCACTGAAAAATGCTGGGTTTTTTTTTCTTTTTTTTTAGTCACACAGCTTCCACACAAAGCAAAAACACCAAGAGGGAGACAAGAGGGGTGAGTCCAAGGGGGGCTGCGAAGGCACAGGGGCAAAGGGGCCCTGAGGGGGCTCTGAGGTTGGAGGGGATGGCCCGAGGGTGGCAGCTGCCATGCTGGGGAGGCGGTGAGCCAGGGACGCCGCCCTGTCTCCTGCCAGCCGGGCACCAGGATGTGGGCACCTGCTCAGTTCCCACGGGTCTCAGATGGGATGGCAGTGAGGTCTCCCCAGGGGCCACCACAGCCTTCCCTCTTCAGCCAGCACTCTGGAGCCGGGGACCCACAGGCAATCCACAGCGTCCCAACTGCACCCTCCCTCGAGAAGCCATTAAACTTGACCAGTCTCTGGACAAGGTCCAGCCTTGCCTTTCTCGCTGTCGTGGCCTCCAGGGTGGGCAGCTACCACCCACCCGGCCGGCCCCTGCCCTGGATCCTGGAGCAGCAACCCACCCACCTCTGCTGCCGTCCCCACCCCAAGCACTGGTGCGCAAACTCCCTCCTGGACAGGGGCTTCCCACCTGCCTCAGCTCCACAACTGGCGCTTAGGGGCCAGGGTGGGGGCAGGGGAGCAGACCTAAAACCTGGGCCCAGAGAAAGGGGCAGAGCCCGGCCACCCCAGGCGCAGTCCCTCGGCCACCTGAATCCGTCTCGGCGAACCGGTGCCAGGCCAGCCCTCCCCAACTCCCAGGGAGGTGGGAAGTGCGAGGCTTGGAAGCCCGCGCGGCGACGCGCAGCCCGCGCCGGGGCGGCGGGTGGGTGGGTGTCGGCTCCGGGATTATTCTTAGCGCTCCGCTCTTTTCGCAAAAGTGGCGCCTCCGCCCTCCCCGCTCCAGCACGCTCGCTCCGGGCTCGCGCGCCCGGCCCAGACACCAGAGCCGCGGAGCGCACACCGGGCCGGGTCCCCAGGGGCGAGAAGTGGCGGCGCAGGGCGAGCGGGGCGCGGGGGGGGGCTCCCCCTAGGGAGTCGGGGGCGCTGGGGGAGGGCCCTCGGCCCCCAGCACCCAGCCCTGCGCCTCGCGGTTACCTTACCTATGGTAGTGATGACGGTGATGGCAAAGTAAAAGGAACCGGCGAATTTCCACTGGACGCCGGCGCGGTGCGGCTCCGACTGCAGGATCACCAGCTCCAGCTGCCGGTAATCTTCGTTACTGATGTTGTACTTCCCCTTGATCCGGATCTCCTCCGCCTTGAGTTTCTCCTCCTCGCGCATCTCGTGGTCGGACTCCAGGGCGTCGAAGACCGCGGCGCCCACCAGCAGGTAGGTGAAGGTGCACGCGATCAGCGACAGCGTCCGCACGTTCTGCCGCTTCATGGCTGCGAGCAGGGAGCCGGCGCGGGGGGCATGTCCCGCGGGCTCACCGCCGCCCTCGCCCCACTGCAGCGCCCGCCGCCCTCCGCCGCCGCCGCCGCCGCCGCCAAGTTGCAAGCGGCGACCGCAACAGCAGTAGCAGCAGCAGCCCTGAGGCGGGGGGCGGGGAGGCTGGCGGGGGCCCCGCTGCCAGTGATGGCGGGGCAGGGGCTCCGTGGCAACCACCGACTGGCACAGGACGTTGTTGGAGCGCCGGGGCCAGGCGTTCCGGAATCTGGACACCCTGCGCCAGAGCCGGCCGAGGTAGCCGGTCCCACTGCGCAGGGCCATGCAAAGTGGCCCCACTGAGCACCGCGCGGGCTACGCTGCCCTCCGCACCCCGCCCCCCTGCACCCACCGGAAAGGCAGGGGCGGGAGCGAGAGCTGGCGAGAGAGGCGGGAGTCGGGGGGATGGGGTGCGGCGGGAGAGCCGGGCCGGCTCCCGCGCGCTGGCACCCAGCTAAGAGCCCGCAGGTGCGCGCACGCCCCCTGGGACCTCCTTCGCTTTCACCCCTTCTCGCTCCCCCTCTGTTGGGGGTTAGAAAAGTTTGCTAAGTGTCCGCGGCTCGCGGGTCTCCGGAAAGCGGGTGGGGGGGGTGCCCAAGCAGGTGCAGCGAGCAGGGCAACCGCACGCCCCTAGGTCCGAGCGCCCCGAGCCCACCTAGGCGCGCGGGAACGCAGGAGGGTCGCCGCCGAGCGCTGGCTGGTTGGCGAAGTTTGCTCCGCTCAGTCTCCGAGGCGCGGGAGCGGGGCGCGGCCCCAAGACGGCAAAGCCCGCGGCGGAGCGGCTTCGGGTGCGGCGGCGGAACCGCGCGCGGCGGCGGCGGTCGACCAGCCGGCGTCTCCGGGGGTGGCAGTCGCGGCGGCGGCCGGAGTGGTCCCGCGGTCCTGGCGGAGCTGCAGGGTGGGCGCGGGCGCAGGAGCCGCGAGTGGGTCAGGGCCCTTCGGCGTCCGGGTGTCCAAGCAGGCGGCTGCTGCGCTGGTCTGCCCGGGGCGCAGTGTGCGTGCGCGCCGGAGGGAGCCGGAGTATGTATCTGTGTGTGCGTGTGCGTGTGTGTGCCTGTGTGTGCGCTTCACAGCCCCGCTCCGGCGGGAGGGCCGCGGGGGGTGGGGGCCGGGAGACGCCGAGGCCGGGCCTCCCTCCCTCCCTCCATCCTCCCTCCCTCCCTCCTGCAGCCTCCAGGGCGCGCCACCGCCCGCCTGGTCCCCCGCCAGCTGGAGAGGCGGCCGCGGCAGCTCCCACTGCAGCCCGAGCGCGGCGCAGGGCGCACGCGGAGGGAGCCCGGGAGAGGCGGCCAGAGCCGCCTGGGAGCGGGTGGGGGAGGGCCGAGCCCTGGGCGCCGCCGGAGTGGGGCTGGGGAGGAGCCGCCAGCCGGTTTCGGCGGGGGATGGGAGGATAAATGAGACTGGTTAGGTCTTTCCAGCCCGGCTCCCCGAGAGCGCACGCGGCCATGGCGGGCGGAGAGTTTGAGGGACCCAGGGCTGGGAGAGCGACATGGGATTCAGCCCCCGCAAGCAGATGATGGAGGGAGAGGGGAGATCCGGCAGAGAGCGGGGTGCACGCGGGGAGCGCGGCCCACCCCCCGCCAACGCCGCGCCAGGCCCAGCCACCCCGCGCAAGAGCGGGCAGCCGGCCAGAGGCGCAGCCGTGCCGAGTACCGGGTCCCCGAGAACGGCCCAGCACCCGCCGGTCTGAATCGCGCCCCGCGCCCCGCCTGATGGTGGGACTGCAGCGCGGGGACGGCGCACTCCCACCTTCCCTCTTTTCCAAGAATTCGCCTGGGTTCCCTGCGTAGCGCGCCGGGCGCGCCTCGAACGAGGCGGCCCTGCCCCTAACCGCGGCTCCGCGAGCTGCGCGGGGCGCGGAAGGAACCAGGAGCTCGGAGCCGGCGCAGCCGCTCCTCGCGTGCAGACACAGGGCCTTGCCCGGCATTGTCTGTTTCCCGCGCCCCTTCCCCATCTCCCTCTGGGTCGTCGAGAGGTTTCGCCTCGCACACCGGCCTCCTCCATCCCCTGGAGCTCGAAGCGGGGACCCGCCGCAGAGAGAACCCCCTGCCCGGGAGGAGGCGGCCACTTGGGGAAAGGGTAGCTCCCGGTGGCGGGCCAGAGGCCGCCCCCATAGACTCAGGGTGCGCTGAGGAGTGGGGTCCAGCGCCAGCACCGCTCGCGCGCTCCCGTATCCCTGTCCCCTGCGCGAGCCGCCTTGGGCTGTGCTCGCTCCCGGTCTGCACGGATGGGGCCCAGCAGATCCGAGCCCCCTGTGCGCCACCGGGGTCCTAGCGGGGACGCTCCTCACCCCCTTGGAGGGCTCCGAGTGTCCGCTGGGTGGGGAGGGGGCGCGCGCGCTGCGGGCCACGTGGGGACGGCCGGGGTTCTGTGGGGTCTCAGGCGCCGCGGAGCGCGGGGGCGGGGACTGCCACCCCCACACGCGCTCTCCCCAGAATTCGCTATGGAACCCGAGGCCCCCGGCTGCCGGGTGAGTCACCGCGAGCGGGCGACAAGGATTCCCAGCAGCTGGGAATTCATCGCACCGCGGCTCGGCCCACGACGGATCCCCGGGAAGGCGCCACCCCCGAGTCAGCCGTCGGGCCGCCGCGGAGCGCAACAGCCGGCCGGCCCGGGCGCCACCAGGGGGCGCTGGACTCCGGCCCACGGGCGGCCCCGCGAAGTCCAGCCACCCGTGGGCTCGGTGCGCTCCCGGGACAGGCTCCGTGCGGTGCACGGCTTGAGGTTTCTTGCAGCCCCGAGGGGAGCGAAACGGCTCGTGTGTGTGTACGGGTGGGGACATCACGACCCGGTGTTACAGACTGGAAGGCTTCCAAGGAGACCGGCTCCGCGCCCAAGGTTGCGCAGCCGTTCTCCGCTCCCTCGACCCCGCGCCCGGCCCTCCTCCCTGGCTCCCTTCGGGGACCCCAGCTGCTCTGCGTCTGACTCCAAGCTCCAGGCGCCTTGAGTGGCCGCCCGCAGCTCCCAAGGTGGCCACTCCCTCTCCCGCTCCCTGGGAACCACGGAAGGAGAGGGGGCGTCCCAGCGGGGCAGGTGCATCCCGAGCTCCCTGCAGCAAGGCCTGGGTCCTGCCCGCCCCCTGCACCCGCAGCACGGTGGTGGTCTGGTTCCAGTCCCCGCGGCTGCCCCGGCAGGGGTCCTCGGGGTCTCAACTCCCTTACAGCCTGGACAGGGATGGAGCTCAGGTGTGGCCAGTCAGGGCCCTGGCTCTCCCGGGGCCACGGGCATTGGCTGTCGAGGGCTCAGGCGCCCACCTCTCAGCCAATGGGAGCCTTGGGACAAAGTCTGAGAGCGGCTGGGGCAGAGCCAGGAGGTGGGAAGTGGGCGGATCACCCCCTGATCTTTCGGATGGTGGAAGTAGGCAGTGTCCTAGAGCAAGCCTCTCTTTGCCAGACGCCACCTGCCCAGTGCCTCCTGGGCCTGCAAGCTGGGTTCACAGCCTGTCTGCGCCCCTTCAGTGGTCACCCCTAAAGCAGTCTTACAGATAATACAGAATGCCATGGCTTTATGGCTCCATTCCCTATGCAGGGAGAGCGTGCCCACTGCACCCTCGCTTTAGTCAGCAGGGCTGGGCAGGACCCGGCTCCCGAGCCAGTCCTTCTTCCCCAAGTCCCCTGTGCCCGGCTGCGCTGGGAGCAGGCAGGCGCCACGCTCTGGGCCTGTTTTCCCCAGGCCAACTCCTGGCTGTGTCTACCAGCACAGCGCAGGTACACCCTGCGTGCTGGGGAGAAGCCAGGGCTGTCTGTTGCTCCAGTCCAGCTCCCTCTGCTGTGTCTACTGCTGTGTCACACTGGTGTCCCCACCTTTGAAAACAAGCAGAGCACAGGCTCCGTATCCCCATTTCACAGACCAGAAAGGTGAGGCAGGAAGAAGCCCCAGGCCCCAGCAGAGAGCCGTGCTGAGAACAGGTCTCCACGTCCTACCTCTCGGGTTTGGCAGCGACATCTGCACAGTTGATGGACCTCGGGCTGTGTCAGTTTCTGGGGCCTGTCCGGAGCTCCCCGATCTTGGAGCTGACGGCGCCGTCTGGGGAACCGTGGCTGGAACAACGGGCAGTTTCCCAAACTCCTGTGGCCATGCACCTGCCTGTGGGCCGGGAATCTGCCACGCCACCGGTCGTCCTGGAGGTTTCCACGTGGGCACCGGCAGCTGGGTGGCCCGCACGCACGGCTGTGGCAGGAGTGGGCTGGGGGCAGGACACACAGCTAGAGGACTTGCAACAGACGGGACTTAGCGGATGACGAGCAGGTCACTCGGTGACTCGGGGCACCGGCCTGAGGCATAGCCCGGCCAAGCCCCCTCATCCAAGCCCCTCCGGGCTGAAGCCAGGGACGGCCCCACAGGCTTCGCAAGGCAGCCTGAGCCAGCAGTCTTGTCCACACAGATCCAGAAATAGCAGCACAGCGTTCCCCACAGAGCCCAGGTTGCTGCCCAGATCAATCGGACACTCAGCAGAGGGCTGCCCAGCTGACGGCTCCCAGAGTGGGAGCGGGAGCCCTGTGTCCGCCACGAGGGTCTCATTCATGGGGGCTGGAGAGGCAGAGTCCCTCCCCCTCCCCAAAGGCCACTCTCCAACCAGGCCCAGGGGATGGAGGGCAGCTAGCTGGGTCCAGGGCTGGCAGGGAGGCTGGTCTGACCCTGGCTTCTGCTTGTGGGTGTCCTGGGACTGGGCACAGAGCAAGGCTGCTGGGCATTTTCTGACCAGGGTAGTGGGTGTGGGGGGAGGTGGGGGGAGGGAACAGAACACGTGTGGCCAGGAAGTGGCACTGGCAAACTCTCTGGGTCACCTCCCCACAGCTCCATGCAGAGACAGGCATTCAGAGTAAAGCGACACTGGCTGGCGGCTCGTCTGCCCCCTTAACGACAGACATAAATTAATTACAAATCAAATTAAAACTAAAACTCTTCTGCTTTTACAACTAAACGAAAATCGTAATTGAGAAGTCACCAAGTGTGAGAACCAGGGGAAGTCACCAAACGCGTTTCCCCGTCTTGCACCTGGGAGACGGGCAGGACTGCCTCCGAGGGCACAGGAGAGGGAAGCACACCGTGGCGGGGGCGGGGGACTCCCGGCAGAGCGAGGGGCACCCCTGGGATTGAGCTGGGTTTGCCCTGGGCGAGGACCCTCTCCAAGCACGGGCCTGTCCCTAGCGTACACACCCAGCTCCCCACTGGAACCCTCGGTTTGCCCAGCCGAAGCCCCGAAGCCTGCTCAGGCTCCTGTGATGAGCCAGTTCCGAGTCCCTGTGCGGTCATCTGCTCCCTGTGTGTCCTTGGGAATGGGAGGGACCCTCGCTGCTTGTCCATCAAACACTGGGAAGGGAGCTCGACCAACCGGGACAAAGTGAAACGGGGCGTGGCTTGGCCCTGCCCGAGCACCCAGCACCCAGCACCTGCTTGGGCACGGGGGACACGCTGCCCTCTTCTCCCCGCCTTACTGCCCGCCAGCCGGGGCGCAGTGCCAGCCGCTGCCTGCGTGCCCTGGAGACGCTACTACGCTGCCAGCGCCCTCCCGACGGGAGCTAACTTTAGCCCAGTCACATGGTGCATTAGTTGTGCCTGTGCCGAGAGTTTACAGATCCCTGTGGAAGGTGTTTAAATATTTTTCCTTTTTGGAAGCCTGGATCTCGCCTCTGCCATTTTCACCTTTGTGTGGCAGGAGGTATTTTTGCAAACGCAGCCGAGGTGGCAGCGATTTTGCTGCGTGACACGGTGTCCCTGTACACCGGCTGCTATTTCGGGGACACACAGGTGCACGTTTGTATTGCTGCAGGCATTGTCAACTCCAGGGAGAGGGACGAGGGTGCTTCCAGAGGCCCCTGAAGGCCCTCTAGGCCCTGCAGCACTGGTGCCTCCCCCAGAAAGCCTTCCTGGACCCCCAGGACTGGGCCAGCTCCCTGGCCCTCAGTATTCCCCGCTGCAGAAATGCCTCTGCCCTCAGCACCGTTGTTCTGGCCCCTGCACTAGATGCATAGCTCTCTAGGGGCTCAGAATCCTACTCCACACGCAAGTCCCCTCCCTCGAGGCCTCAGGAGGGGCATGGCTGCTTCTGGGCGGCTGTCCCTACCTCTAGGTCGCTCTGAGTCCCCAACA